TTGTGATGGTAACAACCTCTAAACGTAAGTTTTTGGAAGCCAACCCCTTACTATAATGTGGGGGTTTTTTTCTGACTCCTGAAACACTTTTGACTTTGTCAGAAGAGTGTGCCATGTTTACTTGAAAATCCATTTATGTGATCAGATTATGGGAATTGATCCTCCTTTGTTTTACACTCTTTGTGTGTATTTTCAGTGCAAATGATTATCTCATTAATGTGACTGCGTATTAGATAGTAAATTAAGCAATTTGCCGTAATAGCATAGTGTAACAACATTGGCAAATATTTAACTTGTGGAGTTATTTGGTATGAGATTTTGAATATAAGCAGAGCTGTCTCAATGGCAGTCATTTTTGTGGAAACAGGTTCTGTGGACACGACTCAAACCATGATGGTACCACTTCAGAAAAAACCCAGGGCAGTCTGAGTTGTAGAACCAAGCAGATATGAGTTAAAATCACAGCTGCTGTTTCAACCTCAATTTTTTGGCCCTTGCACTTGCCTGGTGTAACTGGCTGATGTAAGAGTCCGGAGGGAAATGGAGTGTTTGCTCAGGTAATTAAAGTCTGTGATATAATACATACCCCATGGAAGAGGGAATTAAGGTTGCCCTAGCATCTGTAAATCTTGCATTTGCTAATTTAAGTGTATGACTTATATGCACTAACTGCTCAAAAAAAGTCTCAAATCCCACAGTAGACAGTGAAGTCGCTGCCTGATGTTGGCAGCTGGCTGTGTTATCTGAGACCGCAGCCTGTAGTGCTGCTGGCTTTAGGGACAGTTCATGATAGCTGGCAACAAAGAAAGGTGATGCTGCAGGCTGATATGCCTGCTCTGACACTTACAAGTTTCCTACACAAATAACTTTAAAATACATGTTCTCGTAAACTAACACTTGAATGTACTTAGGAGGTTCTCTACAGATTACTTTTCTGTGAAAGTGCTATTTTTTCATCAGGCCATTTAAAGACAGGTCTATACTGCCAGAACTAGTTTCCTGTTAAAATTTAAACTCTTGTTTTACCTGCTCTCTATCATTTAGGTCATTAGCTACTCTTTAGAAAAAAACCTCAAAGTTGAGATTTAAATAAGAACATTCCCTTTGTCCTAAGCAGCCCCTCTTTGCATTACAAGCAGATGAATCTGTTCCTGGAAACCCCAGAGTGGATTTTGGATTAAAAACTTAGGGATGGTAAATAAGCTTCAGAATTAAAAAGTCCAGCATGTCTGGAGATTTTGACTTCATGGTGTCTATTAGACTATCTGAACTGCCACAGAACATATCTGGGGGATATTCCTCCTCTGAGTTAGTGGCTGTAATTTGTAGTGGTCATGTCGTGAGCCCTCCAAATGTCAGCATCCTATTTATTTGCTTTTCTGGAGACGTTTTTTGTCTCCAGTCTGTGCTATTGGAAGAATGTAGCCTGTGATATGTAGAAGGGATAACTCCCCAGGCTGAGTTGATATAGAGTTGCTTTGCATTTCTTGATTTATTGGATATAGTTGTTGTATACACTAATGCAGAAATTGCTTGTATTTGTCAGTGTTTGCTGGAGAGATGGACCTCTGCTGTTACATTTAAAAAAAACCAACAATGTTTCTTGAGGTAAAATTAGGGTATTTCCGATGCAAGTTAAAATCTAATGTTTTATTTATTATGTTTTTTCTGAGGTAAGTGATAACTTGCATTTTTCAGGAATCTTCCAGTAGTATTGGTATCAATACCTTTTGGGGCATGAGGTGTATGGTATATTTCCTGTATAGTTTCAGGGATGGTTTTATCATGTTTACATTTATATTTGGTATTCTGTGGCTTGCTACCAGGTTGTATAAAATGAGAAAAAATGCCCATGATGTGTACTGCTTATGAGGCCCCGTTCTAATGAGCAGAAGTGGTTTTGTCCTACATAGGAATGAGGACAATTCCTGAAATGTCTGGTTTTGTTGCTTTGCCCACACCAAAGGGCTTCCTTTGATCTTTATTAATTGAGTGCTTATTCTTGTTTGACATGTGAATATATTACAGGCTAAAATTGAGGTCTATATTAAGGTCAAATAAGTGCCTTGTATATCTTATGTCAGAGTTATGAGGGGAGTTTTTTACTGGTTCTGGGAGCAAGATAACTTCTTGAGAGACACAAGTAATGCAGTTAGTTCTGTTATGTCAAAGTAGTGATACTGAAAAATGCATTATTGGGAGCTCTGTCTCCATTTAAAATGTTTCATATCAGATTATTGAGGAATAGACTACTTGGAAGATACTACTTCTGGAGCTCTTCTCCCCATTTGGACTCGACTTTGGGCTATTACACCCCATTATAAATTACCAGAGTATCTTTGTTGTATCCTGCTATTGGAAATATGCAGGAGCATCCTCATAATTACTTGCTAAGTTACAAAGTTCATTTGCCTAATGTTGACTTGCTTTAAAAAGTAAGTCAAGGGTCCTGTCTCTCTTAAAAAAACCCAAGTGACATTCTATTTTCTCAGAATCTTTTGCTAATAAATTGAGTTATTATGTTTGCCTATTTTCTCAGTTGCATTCAGTATTTCTCCTTGTTGTCTGTTGCACTTTTGGTTTCCATTGCTCTCCTCTTGGTCCTGACCTATTTATATGCACTTGTTCCCATGTAAAGATACAATAATTTCTGCCTCTCAGATCTCCTCAAACTCATCTGGGAAAAGAACATTAGTGCTGGGGGCAGTGGAGTGCTCTGCCTTGGATGTGAGGTGCTATGATCATAAACTACCACAGTAAACAAAAATTGGGTTTGTTCCACTTGTATACAGCATGAAGTAATGGCACCAGTCAGTGCTTGGAGTGCTGGCCCAGAAACTGCTGTCTGTACAGCTGTCTGAATTGTTATCAAAGGGAGCAGTGATCAAGTCTGTGCCTGACCAAGTCTGTGCCTCAGCATCTGCCTGCTGCTAATCTTCCCCTCTCTTCCACCCTTAGCTTCTTCTTTTCTTCCTTAAATTAGTAAGATCAAGCTACATTGCGGTCTTCTGGAGAAAGCGCTGTCCTCTGCTGGCAACCCCTGAGGCTCACTGAGGAAATGTTGCATAAACACACTGATCAGAGGGGCAAGCAAGGTTCTTTATCTTGGAGCACAATGTACCAGCTACCAGCTTGTGCTAACATAGAGGGAAACTGGACTTAGACATACAATTATGTGTCATCCTCGGTGGTCATGCCAGCTTGTCTATGTGAAGAGAGATCAGTGCCCTGTGATGTGACACTGTGACTTAAAGGGTACACGCCTAGCAACTTCTCTATATTTAAGATAGCAACAGTAGTGGCAGAGGGTGTGGTGTTGGGCGTACCCTAGAGTTTTGCAATACTCTGTGCACATATTTGTTTAGTTTGAGCTTTCAGGATTGAGCCCTATGTCTTAGGAACTTTAAATGGAGCCTGTTCCATGAGTTGATTAAAGGAATGGGTCAAATTCAATACCTTAGCCTACGGTCAGCATGGGTGTATCATGTTCTGATCATTTCCCACTAACAGTGAGGGTGTCAGAACTGTGTGTGGTTCAAGCCCAGGAGAGCCCCACTTTAGCTGTGGAGAAGTCACTCTGTTAGAAGCACACTGGTGATTTGAGTTCACCTAGTTTGAGATTTTTGCAGTGAAGCCTAAATTCAGGAGAACTCACATTAACTAATTTTAACACTGCTGCTGCATGAGGTGCTGTGTCGAGTTACTGGCACTGGTGAGGATAGCCAAGATGCTCTAAAGATGCCTTGGTGCTCTAAAATAGCATGTGGACTTCTGGTCTATTTTTTTTTCTCCCTAGCTGTATTAACACAACACTGTGGTATGTATTTTGCGTTACCTGCCCTTTGTAGCTACTATTGCCATGTATCCCCCACTGTGGTTAAATGTGGCCTGACATGATGAGCATAATCTGCAGAGCTGTTAACAACTGACTTTTTTTTGGCCTTGCTGCCAACTTTGGAATGGGCTCTGGCTGCACTGCAGTGACAGCAGAGCACTCATCATGCCGGGTCACTGTGCAGCATCCCTGGGTATTGCTGTGTGGCCATGGTAGGGCTGAGGGGAAGGACACCACTCTGATGGCAGCACAACTGGGACATCTCCATGAGGAGTGGGATGAGATGGCTCCTAAATGCAGTAATAATTATTTTAACCTGTACTGGTGTGGATATAGATCTTTCAGCCTACAAAGTGTTTGGAAATGTCGTATAGGTAATTCACTATGTCTGCAGCCACGTCACTGGGTGGGATGGGGCAAGGCAATGGTTTTGAAACCCTCTTAGCAGTGCTTCAGACTGGTAACAGTCATGCAATTCCACAACAGTATCCAAAGCTTCATTTTAACTGCAAAGAGTTGTTCCTTTAGGAATATAAGCCAGCTGCTGTTTTCAAACTGTTACTGTTTTTCCTACAGAAATTGAAAAAAGAGTGTTGAAAGCTTTAAAGCTAATGAAAAGAAATAAGTTTGAATTGTGCATAGTGTGTGTGATGTATCTACAGTATGAATTGTCTTAAAGAAGATGAGAAAATGCTATCTAGTCTGAGCTTCTATACTTTACCTGATATAATTTAAAAAGATTTTGATATATAATATGATGCAGTAATACTATACAGTCTTGAATGCAAATGTGAGAACACCTTTTTCAATAGCTAGACTTTGAAGTTAACAATTACAGTTTAGATTTTTATTCACGTTAAGCCATAAATTGTGCTTAGGGTTGATTCATCGTTGCCACTTTAAAATTTGAAAGAAAGAATGCCACTCATTTTTGTTGGACTGTGACAATTATCATCTTCATCTTGTATGTTTTTTGAATGTAAGGTAAATAGCTTAGACTTGTGAAAAAAATACTGCAAGAATGTATAATTTCGGGACAATTGGAAGTTGTCATGGTTTAGCTCCAGGCAGCTCCCCAGTACCATGCAGCTACTTTTCACTCCCCCACCAGCAGAAATGAATGTTTAAAATGATGATCTCTCCAAGCCTCCCTATTTTATTTCAGGTTTATGACGCTGAATGTTGCGACAGCATTCTTCTGGAGCTGCGGGAATATCTGCCAAAATACTTCGGTGTCTGGTCACCACCTACTGCACCAAATGGTACTGTTCTAATTTTATCTCTTAATCCAAACCTCCTGGAAAAATTTTCTGGAGACTAATTTTTGGCAGTTGTGAGCTCTGTAGGGTTTTTTTGGATTTGTTTTGGAACCCACTGATGTTCCCTCTAACAACTGGTTCCCGTTTGCAGTCTTGTGGCCGGATTAGGTCTTTGGAGTTTTCCTCCCAGGGAAGATGGGTGTGGCTGTTTGTACAGCAGAGATTTCCTGAGTGTCTGAGCCTGATGGACGTCCCCAGAGTTCCTGCTCTGGGTGAGGTTGTGGTGGAGGAGAGGGCTGGTTCCATGGTTATGTCCAGCCAGGCAATCAAAGGAAGAACTACTCTGTGGGTATGGAAGAAAGGAAAGATGGATACTCTGGGGCTGAGAAAGCATTCAAAGTAGAATATGCTGCTGTTTCTCCAGTGGTTGGATCTCATCACTGTGCCTTACCACCCAAAGCACTTACTTCAGCAGGTGCCATGGTGGGGAGTTCTGCTTGCCATCATCTGTTACTGGTTTTAATGAAACAAAGATCTAGTGTCTTAAAATTTGTAGTTGTAGAACACTAGGAGTCAGGAGGAAAAGGATGTTTTAGTAGAAGAATTAGAAGATTGTATCTTCAAGAGAAAATAGATATTGTTGTATTAGAAACTGGATTTTCTTCTGGGGACTTCTCTAATTCACACTTGGGAAATGGAGCTTCTGGAACACACAAAGGGATGCCATGGAATCTATTTGAATACGTGGGCACCAAAGTAGATGCCATGCTCCTTTAAAATAACTCTGTCTTCTTCTGCTTATGCTATCACTTGATAGACTTGTTTTCCAAAGTAGTAGTAAAACAGCATCCACAGACATGGTGTAATATCTACAGGAAAAAATGAAAGGAAGCTTGTGGTAGTACCAGCAGTTTCTTAGCTCAGCTTTACTTTCATGCTTTCCTGTTTGGCACTAACTCAAATAGCTCTAGAAGAGGTATCTTTTTCCTTCCCTCACAATTTAATTTGTTACGGATGGCAAATAATTTTTTTTTGTTTGCAGTATGATCTTAAGATGTGAAAATATGTGGTCTAACCAAGAGACAGTAATTCAACACATTGCTCATTTGCTTTGGGGATTCAAAAGCACCATGGGGCTGGATTTTGGAAGGTCACTGCCAGTCAGACATAGGCAGTAGGAATAACTGTTTAAAGGAGGAGAAACTTTTGATTTTGTTTGTTTTGTTTCTTGAAAAGGCTGTGCACTATCATGAGTCCTTTTCATAGAAAGCTGTGGCGACAATTCAACCAAAACACTGCACTGCCAATTCTGTTATCTGTAGTATTAATGAGCTTTGTGTAGTCTTGATAGAAATCAAAGTTGCTGCAGATGATGGAGTTTAGCAGAGTGTACGTGTATCTTGTTCCTAAGTGTAGATTGAAGATATATTTGTAAGTTTGCTGCAGTCTTAACAGTGGAAGCCTGACCTTTCCCTTGGCAATCACTGCTCTGCAGGCTCTGGGATCACAGCTCCATACAACCCAGTAGTAGTGAACCCAGTAATTTCCTGTTGTTACTAAATTGGTCATAGGTGACTTCTGAGAAAACAAAACTTAGTCTGCTCTCAACTTGGTTTGTGACCATCTCAGTTTCCATGTGACAGGTAAGCAGGAACTGCAGCTTCTAAGGTGAAGAACATAATTTATTTCCTTAGAGAAATATTTAAGGAGAAGCATCAACATTCTATACTGAAGAAAAAGGTAAGTGGATGAAATGGCTAGCTAAAAGGGGTGAAATGTATGAAGTGTAAATGAGAATGTAGGAAATGTGACAGAAAAGATGGACTCCCAGTATCAGTCCAATTTGTAAAATAACTCCCGTTCTGCTGAAATCACATACCCAGTGCTACTGCAAAGGAAATGGAGGTAGAGGTGGGATGCTGTTTTCCTAAGCTCATCTAAAATAGATTGGATTTGAAATTTAGCTTCACTGGCATTGTGGGTATTTGGAGTTTATTCACAAAGCAGTGGAAAAGTTGTTATAAAGATCTAGGAGCCATCTGCTGCTGAGTTTTCTGAGTGTGGCTGCCTAGTTGCTGCCGTGGTTTGTTTTTTTTTTTAGTAACTTCACTGCTGCTCATTTTATACTCTTACCTAGTTTTTGTTGCCTAACCTGTGAACAGGATAGATACATATAACCCAGCTTCAAACTTAACTTCTCTTCCTTTGTTGCTGCGGGCAATTGAAGTTCTTCCCTGCTTATTCCTATGTTTTGAGAGGTGTCTCTTCTTAGGAAAAGGAATCAGATGCCTCAAGTGATTTTGTCTCTTCTGTCTTCAGTGAGGACTGAATGCACTGGTATGTCTGTGCTGAAGTCTGCAGTGGTTCATTCCATGGATACTTGCTGAATTTTAGTGGTCTTTTGGTTTATCTCCTTTGGGACTGTAAAAATTATGTAAATAATATGTCAAGCCACACCTTCCTGCCACTGTTAAATAGAAAAGAGCAGGGCAAGTCTCTGGTAAATGATTTATTTAAATCCTTAAAATGTATGGTCAAGACTATCTAGCAATGCAAGTTTTAATATAAACATCTTTATGAATTTCTCTCTCCATGGGGGTTTTTAATTTAATCTAGTTTGAGATAGCAAATGCATAATTTCCTGAAGCACACTGGGTTAGCAGGGCACTACATAATAATTTAGAAAGTCTGAATTGGTTGAAAAATGCAGGCTTTTTTTTAACCAAGCAAGGGGAAGCGGGGAGAGCACTCTTATTACCTGGGCTGAGGTGCAGATTCACTGATGCCCTTGAGAAAGAAACTTATGGTCAGAGCTTCAGAGGCTTGCAGTGACTGATTTGAAAATGGAGAGCAGTTGATACATATCTGAGCCTTAACTTTGTTTTGCTTTAGTCTCAGTGCTTGGAGGTATCATAGGGGTAACTGCTGGAAATTAAAGTCTTGTACATACCAGTATTGTGGGTTTGGGAGCTGTTTCATTAGACTGATGAATACAGTTCACATAAGCACCAAACAGTGCCAAGAAAGATGGAGTATAAACAAGTGATCAATTTGTTTGAAGCAATCATGAGAAAAAGTCACTTGCTTTATCTGGGTGGCATTGCTCTGCCAAGAAGGCCACACAGCTTTGTGAGAGCAGAGGGGTGTGTTAACAGATATAACAGGCCTAATTCTGAGCCAGCAGTTAGCTAACAAGGAAGATTTAATTCCAGAAAGTGTGAGAGAGATGAGAAATTTCTGGTTAATTTACAGGCTTTGCCAAATAATTAATGTTTCTCAGGGTTGATGTTATCTACAAAGGTAATTTAATGCTTAATTTAAAAAAATAATTATTGTTATGTTTTTAGGAGGTTGGTAAGATAGCTTAAGAAATCTAGTTAAGAAATCTGGAAAGGATGGGCAACAACGAAGTGACAGACATTTTGGACTTTAAAGTATTTGAGAGGTGCTGAATGTTTGTGCTGTGTGGTTTAAAAGCAGGAATTAGACCAGTGCAGTAGAAGACAGCTGATACCTATGGATACCTATGGAAATAAATGTTTTATACTTCTTTCTATATGGTTTTATTTTAGGGCTGATGAAAACACTGCACCTAAACAATTTGTATTACTTTTTTATTTCTAACAGTTTGATTCTGGAATGCTTGCAACATGCTCCAAAGCATTTTGGAATTGGTGGTGAAGGACTGCAGCTGTTTTCTTAGATTTTTTGCGTTTACTGTCTTTCCCCACCTCCCATGTAAACCTTTGGCTCTTTGCTTTTGAGAGCTATGTACTGAAAACCTTGAGTTTTATTTAGGTATTTCCTGCATTGTTTTAGAGTGATGACACAAATCTGTTGATGACAGTGATTTCTGTAATATGCAAAAGGAGTCAGAAGGATGGCACTTAGATTTTTACAGTTTTTGGTTTAAAAGGAGATAGCTAACAGATTTTATTAACTCCCCAGGTGTTGGTAGTGGTTTCTCAAAGTCCTGCAAAAGCTATGCTAATATCTGAGTGAATTAGACCTCTGTATAACAACCTTGAAGAGTAGAAGTAGCACCTGCAGTTCAGGTGATACAGAATACGCTGCCTGGTAGGGAGAGTGTTTGTCCTGCTTATCCTTTGGGAATATTCAGTGAGCAAATATCAAGTATGTTGGCTGCCTAGGGCTCCTCAAAATTAACTACGAGTTACTTCAGCTTGGATGCATTCCTGCAGTTGTAGTTAGTGGGTGAGCTAGCCTATAACAAAACTCCTTTTGCTGTAGCTAGATTGATCCTGTAGCCCAAAAGACATTGAAAGCTAGGGAAGTGATTTACTGGAGGAATGGTGGTTTTTTTTTTTTTTTTTTTTTTTTAATTAGTGTATTGGTTTGACATGTTGTCCTGAAAATGACTACATTAACAAGATGCCTAATTCCAATGATACAGAAAGCAGGCATCTGATGATTGAATCAAACCTGTTTAAATTAATACATACATACTTTGTGAGAAATTAGGACATTTGATCATGATGGTGTAAAAACGGAGGCTCTAGTAGGACTTAAAGTAAAAGTCCCTTTCACTTTTTTTCCTTAAGAAAGTGTCTCTACTTATCAAGTGTAAATGGAATGTTGCTTGTTCCTTTTATCTTGACTGGGACTGGTTTGTTACCTGATTGTGCAGCTTTCAAAAAGGCACTTTGTGCTTCTTTTTAAACTTGGAACTAGTTTTGCTTTCTCTCACAATCCCATTTTAGATCATACTGCAGGAATGGAGTATAATACAATTTTTTTTGTGTTCAAACTGCATTAAAGCCAAAGCAATACATGTATGGAGTAGGCTTTACTGGAAAGAAAGCCAGATCTGATATTTGTGCTTGGTGACAGGAGGATTTACAAAGCACATATGAAGAATGAGACCAGTGTTGAGGCTGTGTTGGTTAATCATGTCCTGGCAAGGGCTGGAGGTAGGTGCAGCTGTCTCCCAAGCAGAGTTGTCTGAGGGCTGGTGGGTACTGACTCCATTTCCTTGTTGTGTTCAGACAGTGAGTGAATGCTGGTAATGAGCATTTTCATCAGGTTTTAGATACTCCTTTAAATCTTCAGGTACTTCTGGGGTTTCTTAGTCCAGCCACCCTCCCAGAGGGCTGTTAGAAATGGATGAAAGGCAGCCTAGGCTTCCAAGAGCATTTTCCCCAAAAGGTGTGCCATGAGAAATAAGTGTAGATGGGAGTGGGATAAAGAGAAACCAAATGAGCTGCACTTCAGCCCCTGAAGGCTAGGAATGAAATGTTCTCTTCATTTTTAAAATGACACGAGACCAGCTGAATTGCAAAACTAGCCACACAGCTGCAAAACCTGCATTTGTATGTGGTTAGTAATGCTCTTTGTGATATGTTAATGACTTAATAAAAGCTACTCAAGGATTTTATCTGGGCAATAATTTGGATTTGAATACATGTTAATTGTATACAATTTTCTAAACTAGAAAGCATTTAGATTTTCATAGCAATAGAATTTGTGGGTGTCAGTGACCATGATTTAGCCTCCATTCAGAGACAAATTTGACTCTTGAAGAACTCATGTGATACTAAGCCTTAAACTGTTCACATTCCTCCACAGGTTCTCAGCAGAAGCTATGTAATTATTTTGCTTTGACCCACTGTTAAGAGAAGTTTTGTTTTTTTTGACAGACACATACCTAAAACTGGAAGATGTGACCCGTAAGTTTAATAAGCCCTGCATAATGGATGTAAAAATTGGTCAGAAAAGTTATGATCCATATGCTTCAGCGGAGAAGATCCAGCAGCAGGTCAGCAAGTACCCACTGATGGAAGAGATTGGCTTTTTGGTTCTTGGCATGAGGGTAAGAACTTGTTTTGTCTTCACTTTCAGTTTATGCTCAGGCCTCTTGTCCCACACCAGGTACAGCAACTGGTTTCCCTCGCAAACAGCAATCCTCTTGAGTTTTGCATAAATACTGTGTTACCTGAATGTCTTGGTAGTGCTGGCGTCAGCTGTCATGTGAAATCAGTTCCAAAGCACTGCTCTGGTTCAAAACAATTATTTAATGTGGCTGTGTCCATTAGGGCAAGCTATTTGCAACCTGGGCACTGTATGTGTATACAAGAGAGAGGCTGGGTATTTAAAACTGAATATAGTTGCAATTAATTCTTCACCACCACAACAGATATTTAAAATTATTAAGCGGATTTTAAGGTGTATATCAGAGATTTACATACTGAACCAGTCTTTCTAATAATTCAGTAATGAGCTTTGTCCACCACATTTTTCATCTTTATACTCGTTTTTTAAATAAAAATAATTTTACGTATTTTTTTTTAATTTAGGGAGGAGTAAATAAGCTCTCAGAGGTGATGCATGTAGCTATGAACAGCTGCTTATGTTCTACAGAGGTGATGCAAATAGCCATGAACAGCTGATGTTTTACATTTTAAAAAGCTTTCCATCAGAAGGAGACTTCTTTTGATATTTACACACTTAAAGAATGGCTCTCAGGGAAGGTTAGTTGGGCATGCAGAAATCCCTATTAACTCTTGGTACTCTTAGAAATACTAAGAGTCAATAGGTGTGTATTGGCTACTTTAAAACTTCATTGTAAAGAAAAGCTGTACAGAACATTTGTGGCTCAGTAAGAGAAATATGTTGATAAGTAGTTTTCTCTGCCATGATAGGTACAGGAATAGTTTTCTTTTTTGATGTGGGATTTTTGTTTTTCTTCTCATACACAAAGCCAGGGTTCCTGAAGCTCTGCAGCACAAATGGCTGGAGACTTTGATAAGCTTCCCCTTTGCTGTTCAATAGCAATAGCAGCCAGATTGCACCATTGTTCAAGATAATTCTAATATCTCTGTAATGTTTTGTGCAGAGCTGCCCAGCCTCCCAGCCCTTAACTCTGCCTTGAGATAAGCTGCTATATAAATTATAGTGGTCATGTGTAGTAATTACATAAGCCTATGAGCAAGAATGTGGGAGTAAAGTCAAAAACCAGCCAAAGAGTTTGGATGGGAAAGGAAGGTTAGAGATTATAGCTTTGGATTTGGTTGATGTCATTGTGTAACCTTTCTTATCTCATTTGTAAAACAATGTGCTTCATGTCCTATGTTTCATGACAGTGCAGAAGGAATGATTGATTGCTTCTGTGGTATGCTTGTGACTATTGTTTCTAACATTGACACTTACTTGTGTCTTTGTCCTTTTGCAGAATTTTTTTCAGTCCTCTAATTCAGACTGGATGTATAATGATGGTTCTCCCAAGTAGTGCAGTTTTCCATCCAGTGTTTAGCTAGATGAGATTTGGATTTTTGCCTTTGGCCCTCAAGTACACGTTGGAAGCTGTTTTCTGAAGAGAATTGAAAAGGTTCCTCCTGCCCTCACACAGCACTTGGCAAAGTCTGAATTCACAATGTTCTCTGCCTCTTGGTTATGGGAGGTTCTCTGTGCTTGCTTTATTTTTGCAACGTTCTGGCCATACTATGAAACATTCCAACACAGATATGTACTGCCCAGAAGAGCTCACTTGCTGGATGAAGGTTGTTCCTGTTTGCTGGACAAAACATGATGTAATGAAGAAGTACAGGGGTTTGGTTTTAATCTCTTCATTCAGTGTTTTTTTTTACCAGGGAGGTGGGCTTGTGTGGTAAATTTTTACAAGATCAAGAAGGAGAGGGCTAGGAAAAATAGAGGCTGTAGCTATGCTTTTTCTAAAGCATCTATCATATAAGTTGTCATGAAGAAATACAAGCAAAAAAAGTGTTATAGGTGGGGGTTTTACCCCAAAATCTATTTACAATGTATTTTTACCCAAAAGGCTATTGAAACAGCTTTTTCTTATGCATATAAAATATGTATGGTGTGTCCTTAAAAATAGGAGTGTCCTGTCTAGCCCAGCATTAATTTATGTACACAGTTCTGCCATTTGATCTATATTTAGCCTAATACACTGAATAGACGAAATAAATGCATGGAAATACATTTAGGAAGTGCAGTTATTTTAATAACATTGTTTAAAAACACAGTTCTGTACTTAGTGGAGGAGTTGCTTTCTTTAGCAGATGCCTCTGGATCCCTGGAAGTGTCCAAGGCCGGGCTGTACAGGACATGGAGCAACCTGGTCTAGTCAGACATGTCCCTGCCCATGGCAGGGATTGGAACCTTTTGAAACCAGGTCATTCTGGGATTCTGTCAGAGTGGACACGATTTGTTATGAAAGTAGTTAGAGTTTGCATAGAAGTTGGAAGTCTCAGGTACTGCTGCAATAGCAAAAATACAAATTGTAATGTGGTTTCAGTAGCAGACATGCAAGCAGGTAAGAAATCTCTTTGCAGCACAGGCAATGTTGAATGCAGAGCATTCTGCATGCTGTTGAGTACAAGCACAATGTGTGGGCTGTGCTCTCATTTCAGATTCACAGTCCTTTAGGAATCCACAGTTCCCAGATTCTGCAGATTGTCTTTTGTTTCCAGGACATCAGTTGCAATCTCACGTACTCCAAAATATTTCTGAAATGCTATTTTAAAACACAGACTGGTGATTATGTAATTTTACCATTATAATCCATCATTGATTTCTATTGTTTGTGCCTATGAACACGCAGGCAGTAATGTATAATAATCAAACCTGGTTTTACAAGTGAATTTTCTCATCTATAGCACATGATTCTGCAGGATATTTTCAAATTGACTGTAATTGCCTCTATTTTATAAAGTTTTAATGAACTCTTTCTAGTATTGTGGTAATTTTCATAAGCTCTGATCTGCTAGTAACAAGATTTAGGAGAGAAGTCATAAGTATTAAATATTGCATCTAGATTCTTCTAGAATGAAAAATTATCAGAACTGGGGTTTTTACATTTATAAGTCTAATTCAAGCTTTGATGTTTAAGAAAGCAGGAAGACAAAGCAAAACAAAAAAATCCATGAAACAATAAATAAAACCCTATTTTATCTAAGCCAAACAAACCAACCAGAAGTCCTGAAAAAAAAAAAATTTTCCAAGCTGGAGCAGGTGGTCTTTTATTACATAAAATAAATTTATTCAAATGAGATGCTTTGTGGAAGTTCTGGGAGTCTAAAATTACTGTATTAAGCTATTTTTAAAATGGTTTATGATTTAATTGCAGTGTTGTAGTTTCTTTTATTTAGGAGATTAATAGTCTGCTTTTTCGCTGGATAACTTTCAGCATAATTTCATTCTACAACTTATTTATCTAAGGACTTGACTAAAACTGTATATTGATGTTAGAGCATTTGGGGGTGCAATTAGTCATATGAAGCACTCAGTCAAAGTAGTCCAAAGGAACAAAGAAGCAAAATGGGCCGAGTAATATCTCAGTATGGAAATGAGGGAGCAAGGCTTCATCTCTTGTGCTGAATTTTTAAGGCAGCAGGAATGTATGTACTTTCATCACCTGTGGTCTAGCTACAATAAATAAAGTTTTTAAAAAGTAAAAATTAGGGAATGAGATGTTTAGATGAATGGATTTGGATAATGGGGCATGCTCTCAACACCACTGGTAATGTTAGACATTACTATAAAGCAGAGATATCAAATAAGAGAATGTTTTCTAGCGAAAATTCTCCCTTTACTTGTTTTTTTTTCCTTCAAATCTTTGCTTTACTTTATTTTTGAAAAGAAAAAATAAGGGTTGTTGAAACTCTTTAAGTCTTGCACTGTGGCAGGATGAAGGGCCTGCAGAGAAACCTGGGTTACTTGAGCATGAAGGAAACATGCATTTATATTGGGACAGTGGTGGGGTACAGGCAGAAGGTGCCCAGGCATGACTGTGGGTCTTGGCCTGGCACCAGGAGGGTCCCTGCAGAGCTGGGGGTGGATGCTGCTGTTGGATGTGCCTAGATGAGTTTAACCCCACTTTCAGCTTGTGACTCCAGCTTTGGTAGCAGCTGGGTACTGACAGCAGCTCTGATGTTGCACAGTAAGAATATAGAAAAATGACTCATGAAGCAGGAGGTTTCTTGAAGGCAGTGTTTTGTAGCTCATAGAAGGAGTTTTCTTTGTCTTGCACTCTGCAGGAGACCTGCCAGTGGATACAGAGCAAACACATAACAAGCTGTGGCAGGTGGACAAGAAATGATATTTTCCTGTGTAATAATGTCTTGGCTGCCGTTAAGGTTGCAGATCTGCATTGGTTTGTTGTTGTTCTGACAGAAATGGGCTCGTTCAGACAGCTGCAACAACAGGGATGCAGAAAAAGCTTGGTTCAGAGGCAAAATGTCGGGGTTAATAGCAGGAAGGGTTAAAAGCAGATGGTTGGTGGTGGCCATGTGAACAAAAGCATAGTAGAGCAAGATGTCTGTCAAATAGGAAGTTGATTTTAGCCTCCTGCTCCTCCAGCACAGCCACCCCTGTGTTTGGCTCGGTGAGGGTGGAGCAAGGATTGGTGAGAGGTTGTTCTGTTTGAGCTTGCCTTTCAGCTCCCTTGCTTCGAGAATGGGGTGTAATGTATCTGTATTTGAGTGAGGTTTTCCAGCAATGTTCAAGTAGTCTCTTCCTGCAGTTGTGCAAAGTTTCAGGGTGGTGGTCAGAGATGGTTTTTGTGATTATGCAGTTGTGCTGTCCTTTAATGCCACTGGCTGCAGCCAAGCCTCTTGGTGACCCAGGGCATTGTGAGTGCACAGGGCAGTTAAACACATACATACATTGCACTCATCCTGTGGCTCTGGGACTTGGTGCTTTGTCACTCACTGCTTTGTATAGTTAAAAATGTGCTGTTAATGCAGCATGCACGTCTGCCTCGGTGTTTGTAAGCCATACAGAAAGACATTTGGGGAACGGTTTTGTTCAAATTATGAGAAGAGGTGGGGTGGATTCTTGGGAAACAGCTCGGAAGCACAGGGTCTGATGTGCTGCTCCAGCATTTCTTTGGAAAACAAAATGAGCTTGCAGATCTTAATCATGTTTGAGCTAGTGCCCATGTCAGAAAAACTGCAGCTCCTACAGGAAGAGATAAGGAAGGTTCTGGTAAACAAGATGGTTTGGTACTGCTGCAGTGCTGATGTCTGCAGAAAGCTGCCCCTTGTCCAACTACATGAGAACATTTAATATTACTAAAATGAAGGCACAGCTAATGAAAGCTTAGATGTAGTCACTAGACTCTTGATTCTCTTTCTAAGCAATATTTTGCTTTATTTAGCTGCCTTTGACTTGTTGCTCTTTAAAAAAATTTGAAACTTTTGGTTTTGTTTTTGAAGGTTTTGGTACCTGAAATGGTTACATAAGTCATCTTTGGGATTCTGTGTCGTATGCTGATACTTCTTTCGTATGCTTTGGAAAAAAACCCCAGCAAAAACTAAATGCAGAAAAATTATTGTGCTTGTGAACCCAACATCACAGTTGTCAGATGCAGTGTTAGAATAACTCATTTCTGCAATGGCCTTCTTCATTTCATAGTCATGGAGACCAGTTTCTCCAAGTATCATAACAGTGTGAAGTGTTTCTGCTACTGAGTTCAAACATTTAGACTTACAGCTCTTTATATTTTTAGAATAATGAGAACTGTTTACGGCCCCTTCAGTTCATGGTTAGAGACTTAAAATCAGACTTTTGTTAAAATAAAAAGCTAATTGAGACTGTTCTTCTGAGCTGCTTTGCAAAACAGGAGGTGGGGATCTGTGTAATCATACTGGATTTATTGTTGTTTGGATGGGGGAGAGAGATTTCAGGGTGGTGGGCTGTAATGAAAACAGGGAAGTGTATTTTCTTTATTTAATGCTCCTATAATATTTCTTTTTATTGCTGTTTCACTCTTGTGGACTTTATTGGTGGCTTCAGCAAGAATAAGGCCCCAGAGGAGGGATGGTTCAGTGGGATCCTCTCTTCCAGTGGTGAAGGGAGGGCAGAGCTGTTCATGGGGTGGATGCCACAGGGATGGGTGGTCTGAACAAGTTCCAAGCACCAAGTTCCTGCCAGAGACAAATGCCTGCTTGGTAACACCATTATTTCTTCAAATAAAAATTGTCTGCACTCTCATAAACAAATTATACTTCGGCCTTGCTGCCTCACATTTCTGCTGTGGAAATAATATCAGTGTGAGAGAAAATATGTCTATATGTGAAACAGTTTTGAATTAAGTTCTTAAGCTTGTACAATTCCTGATATGGACAAAACTGTACCCATGTGAGTTGCCTCCCTTTGAGATGAGAGCTGAAGTACTGCTGCTGATGCTGGAACCAGCTTTTGCCTGCCTGCTGCCATTTATTTAGTGCAGCCTATTTGTGCTGACAGTTGCGGATGTGTCTTATGGAGCTGGGCCTTGGTGCTCACATGCAGTAATTCTTACTGTTTTGCCTTTGTGCTAAATAGTTTTATGATTTTAAGAACTCAAAATAATTGCATTGAAATTTTTGCTTTGTTGTCTTTCTGATTTAACATCCACTGTAACACAGATAGTTTCAGATCTCAGTTGTGATTTGCAAGGCCTTATAAAAGAGTTCCCTGTAATGGATACATTGCTTTTTGCCACCACCAGAATGTCTCTAGCACAGGAGAGCTGTAGCTTGGAGCCCAAGGACTGAAGGAAGAGTTTGGGAGAGCACTTTTTTTTGCTGGGTACCGCAAGAAACTTAAAAACTGTGAGGACTAATGTTTTGTGAGGTGTCTGTCTTGCTGTGCAGAAATACTGGTACTTCAAAATAAATAGGGAGCCCCCTTCTTGCCTCTTTCAGGTGTACCACGTGTCTTCAGACAGCTATGAGACACAAAACCAGCACTACGGAAGGAGCTTGACCAAGGAAACAGTCAAGGACGGTGAGTAAGGGAATTGGGGTGTGCTTGGATCGTTCCATTTAAATACTGATTTATAGAACTGTGTGGAAAAAGTATTCTGGGCGTACCCATTTTAAAAGTCCTTTTTTGTCCCCAAAGACCCTCAGATGGGTCTTTGGCTGTTCCCTGTAGTATTTCAGCTGCCTCTCAACCTGAAATTAAGTGTGCAGTTGGCTGTAAGAGCAGTGCAGAATACAGGAATTTCCTCCTCATGTCTCTTCTACTACTAATTAGGTAGAGAATTCTAGAATTCAACTTCTTTGCAGCTTTGAAACTATAATGAAATAGAAATCTTGTAAAATATTGCATGTTTTTATTATAAATACTTTTTCTTTTGTCTCTAGTTGTCTTCTGTGAATATCAGTGTATTTTCTAATAGAAAGCTACTACAAAAGCATCTTTCAATTCAAAGGACTTTATCAGTTGAAGTCAATCCACATGTTGCTCTACATTAACAATTAATAAAAGTGCTGCCATTGTGGGGCTGTTTGGTGATAATGATTGCAGACTTGTTATTAGTTGACGCCTGCTCATCTGTCCCCCAGCAAGGGACAGAAGGTGCACACCCAAACACGCTCATAATAAAAAGCTGCTTGAGCCTGTTTATGCATGGAGAATTTAATGGGTCTCTGCCCAAAACTGTCCAGACACTTGTTCAGCTGCCCTGGGAGCAGGAACCATGTTCTTTTTCTGTTTGCTTGATACATTTACTTCTACTTACAACCCAAGCCCAAGCTGTAGTATTACACAGCAGGTGATGTGACTGAAGATCTCAGAGTTCTTAGGTTTACTTTGGGTTTAGTTAGTAATTGCCTGAAGAGAAACTACCTGAATGGTGTCTGTTCCTTCAGTTAAGAACTATTCTCATCCCAAAAGACAAAACCATTTGTGTTCTGTTCAGAAGTGAAAATAATCCCCAAATGTGTGTATTTCTTGCAGGCATCTCAAAGTTTTTCCACAGTGGGTACTGCTTGAGAAAAGATGTGGTAGCTGCCAGCATTCAGAAGGTTGAGAAGATTTTGGAGTGGTTTGAAGGCCAGACACAACTCAACTTCTACGCAAGCTCACTGCTGTTTGTCTATGAAGGTTCATGTCCAGCGACAACCGTGCAGTTGAGTGATGTCACCTTGGCAGAGAAGAGGAGAGTACCCAAAGGCCTGTTATCTGGTGGAGATGTATTGGAGTATAATAATAATATTCATGTAATAAATTCGACAGAGAATGGAAAAATCGAAGCCTCTGTAGGTAAAGGCTTGTCGAAATTTTATGCACTTCACAAAAAGGCGTGCTCGAAGAGGCACCACAGTCAGCTCTCCCTGAAAGTCGAAAACTCAGAGCAAGACAATGTGTGGAAAACCAGCACATGCATCACACAGGAGCACCTGAATGGAAATGTTCTACCCCAACTGGAAAAAGTTTTCTATCACATGCCAGCAGAGACCAAGGAAAGTGCAAATGTCGAGGTCCGAATGATCGATTTTGCTCATGTGTTTCCCAGCAACACAAAGGATGAGGGCTATATTTATGGTCTGAAGAATCTCATCACAGTACTGCAAAATATTTTGGATAACTAAATTCTTTGCTATGTTTTTTATTGGGGGCCAATGATAAAGAGCAACAACATGAAGAATTTCTGCACTTGTAATGCTGTATAACTGGGTTTGTATTGTTCTATATTTTATTTGTCTTTGTACTTTTGGTAGAAGGGTTTAACTTTTTATAATTTCACTCAGGAAAAATATTGATAGTTAATTAGAAAGTGTGAAAGGATGAAGATACTTGAGATAAAGCAGGATAGTTAAATTAATAGAATGAAATGTAGTGGTTGGCTTAAGTCCAAGGACTACCAGGAGCAAGGGTTATGTTAATTCCTCTAATGACTTTAGCATAGATGACATTTTTGCCCATTTAGCCTTGACACTGAGCCACATCTCCATTAAGAGGTGTTTAGAAAATAGACTGAAAGTTGTAAGGTGCAGGATTGATGTCCTCAGTACTGCCCTTGTGTTTACTGTATTTGAATAACTGGAGTAACTCTGCTTGGAGAGAAATCCCATTCTGAGTCAGCAGTCTCACCTGAAGCCAGTGCATCCCAAAGTGCTTTTCCATGTCATGGGACAATATTGTTGTTCTTTCTGCCCTTCCCCCTTCGTGGATGTCGAAGCTGATGTTCACCACAGATGAGCTACCATGTAATTTGTTTTGAGGTGCTAAGAAAATGCTGGAGTACCATACCATAACAGGCTTAAACTGCACAACTTCTAGAGAAACTGTTTGTTTCTAAGAACAAGTGAAAGAAGGCAAATGCAAGATGTTCCAGGAACTGATTTGGTTTAGGAGATTGTCAGTTTGTTAATGGAGTGTCTGATGCTGTGATTAAGGAAAATGTCTCACTCTGTTGTTCTCATGGCCCTTTTCCAACAACATTGCTTTAAAAAGCAAACCAGTAGAATGGGGAAACAAGTGTTTTGGGTGAGCATGCAGAGCTCTGCTGGCTGTAAGCCACTTGCATTTTTGCAGTGAGTATTTGATGCTCCAGCTGCTGGGGAATACTGACTGGAACCTCAAGCAATAGAAGGCAGAGGAGCCTCCTGCGAGATCCTTCAGTCTCGGAGCCGCCAGCTGTGCCACCGCTTGTGCCAGAGGAGCTGTGGCTCTCTGTCTCGGGCTGCTGACACATCAAGTTTGTTTAATGACACACAGGCAAGCTGTGTGACTTGAAAGCTGTCCCATTTCCTTCCTTTTCACAAGAAAGTGTCACCATTTGTATGGAATACTTGAGATCAAGATGATTTATCCAAAGCAGTTTTGGTGTGTCTCTTCTGTATGCTGTGTAGGTGGCTGTGCTGCCATGAATATTACAGTGAGCTGTATGAAAAGTGGGAATGGAGGAGTCCTGCCATCCCTAGAGCAAGATTTTAAAGCTTAAAGCCTTTCCAGGACGAAAATGTTTTAGAATGGATTTGGTCATTGGAAGCATACATCTTTTTCATGTGGACTTAGTGACCCTGTGGCCTTGCTGCTCTCTCTGTATGATGTTCTGCACTATGCACTCAGCTGTGTACACATCTTGACAAGTTCTTCATTGGACATCTGTTTTTTACATGACAAAGAGATGCATACTTTTTCAAGCAAATACGCTGTTTTAAATAAAGCTGAATTTTTAGCTCTATTTGAGAACTTGGGTTAATTGGGAGAAACAGGGTATTACTACGTGTAGAATTACATGGTTTAAACTTTAGAACTCATATTGGCCATTGCATTCAATAATGAAACCGATCTTTTAGTAACATAATGTTTTAGAAGTATGGAAAAAGGGGCTTGCAGGAAGGGTGAGACCAGTGTGTTAAAAATTTTATGTGAAATACAGTGAAGTCTGAGGGGGAAAGTACCAGGAAGAGAGGAACTTTTTTCCTACCTGGTATTTCTCTTGCACCTTATAGTTAATATATTCCCAACCCTCTGTGAATTAATTTAAGCCATATTCTAGAAAGAGTTTGTGGTTTTGTTTGCTTTGTCACTGGTTTCTGTGTTATGATTTTTGTTGTTCTATCCCTTAAATAGTCAACACTATAGTAGTCCAGACTGGTAGTAGCCTTGTATGATAAAGGTACAAGGGTTTATAGGAAAATATGGACAAAAACATTTTAACATCATAATTTTTGTTCTCTGTAATTCATCTCTTCTGGGTTTTTATCCATTTTGTACCGGAGAAATGAGGCATTTTCCTCAAGTCAGTTATTGGAAAATGATTAGTATGCACTTAGTACCATGCACTCTCCTGTCTCTGCTTTAAGATACATGTCCTCAGTGTTTGAATGCTCTTTAAGTATTGATTGTTTTGTTGGCTATGGCAGTATTTGTAACATGCCTGGAATATTGTCAACCTGTCAGAATATTTTGAATAAAAAAAAAAATTTATCATGGTTTTTGTACCAGCAGTTATTATGAATGTATTTCTGATAATTTAAAATGTAGCTTGAGAAGTAACAGTATTTTTCATGGGAAATTGTGTAAATAAAGCTTATGTGGAGATGTTTGGGCACAGTACCAGCTGTGAGTTTGAGCCTGCAGAGGCCTTATATTCACACTTCTTGCAGATTTTAGGCTCGGTGTGTCTTGTGTCTGAGCCAATTGTTTTCAGTTTCAGTTGGAAATGTATTCACAGAAATGATTAAACAGAATATGTAATTAGAAGATGAAGAGGGAGAGTGGGTCACTGAACTGATGCACTCTCAATGACTGATCTCCCTCCCTCTCAGCAATGCCCCTTTTGTTCTCTGGACATAGTATACAGGACAGGCAACCACTACATGGAAATCTTCACAGGAATGGTTATAAGGCTTGTAGGTGTTTATGTCCCATAAAACAGCGGGTTGCTGTCCCAGACTAGTGTGGTGTAGCTGGGTGCCAGGTCTGCTGAGGAAACTCATGATTTTAAGCAATAAGAGTTGGGTTTAGCAGAGCCAACTCTCAAAGAGGAAGAACTCACGCAGCATTGTCAGTCATGGACTCTGAAAATAGAGGCTTCTGCTTAGGTGGTGTGAGGACTGTGCTTAGGAATACCTAAGGAGAACTTGAGTTGTATAAAGTTTTATGAAAAGCATTTACAAATGTATTTTTGAATATGGGTGAAATTTGTTGCATAAATTGCATTGGAAGTTACTATGCCACTCTAAGATACTTAAAATAATTTAATCAATTTGTTTTATGAACTGAACTGGAGACTTTACTGGTAGTTGTGATTCTGATGAAACTTGCACTGTTTGTTTTTTTCCTACTGTAATGTATAACCAGGTTATTCTTTTCCATAATCTCACAGTTTCATGGGAAACTTTTAAAAGTACTGAGCAGATTAGGAAATCACTATTTTCCATTAATTTAACAGAGTGCATAATGTTCTTCAAATATTTCAGTGCATGTAATATTGTAAGTAATGTTAACATGCTACAGATCTAGAACCCCAGTAAAACTTCCTCACCTGCAGAGAGCTCTTGATGTGATCTGGATTGTGCGGAGTTTAAAATGGGCCTCCTCAGCTGTAAGAGCAGCAGTGGTGAAGGAATGGTGTCACCTGCGCTGACTGTGTCAGCTGTGCAGGAGTGTTCACGTTATGAACCCAAAATCATTGGAGATGATGGAAATTTGTATTTCCTACAAAGCTTATGCCTCATAACTCCTCTCGAAGTGCTGCTTCTGAAAAACACCGTGAGATGCCTCAAATACTGTGGGGATCCACTCTCCCCTGAAAGAGCAGGAGTGGTGCTGATGGGCAGCACGACCCGAGGGGAGACTGGATTGTAGGCTTTGAGTGAGTTCTTTACTCAGGAGTTGCAGAGGATGTTCTGGGGGCAAGGTGAGTGACAGCTGAACTGTGTGGAGTTTCCCTTCCCTCACTGCAGCTCAGGAGGAGGTTTGGGTTTAAGGAGGTGGTACAGCAGAGAGCAGTGAGAGTTCCTAAGGAGCCTTGAGCAGGACACTGGGTCTGTGCTGTAGCACAGAGAATGGCTACAGGTGACATCCAAAGGCTGCAGATCTCCAGGTGGCCCACAGAGGGAATGTGTTGTGTTTATTCATTGGGTTAAAAAAGGATGTTATCTGGCAAGTGCATTCATCACCATAGCCACGGGCCAAATCGTGGCTGTTTTTCATGTTCACAGCAATCTAAATGGAAGCTGCAGTAGCAAATTGTCATTTAAAGGGCAAATATATTTGAAAGGGGAAAATAAGAGTTGTACCACAGAAAACATGTTTCAGTAAATATCTTTTACTCTGGTCTTGTTTAGTGGAGATAGGCCTTGTGAATTTGGGGTCTAATTTGTTACATGATGTTTAGTAGCAAAGTCAGAACAAAGGTACTTCTAAACACCTTAGTTTGAATTGTGGACATTGGTTTAAGTAGTTATTTTATTTCATCGCTCACTTTTTAAAAAAGAAAGTAACTTCCAAACACATGTATTGCACCTGACTAAATGAAACTACAGTGCACAAACGCACTTTAATCCTCTGGGAACTGTACTGGAACATAGATGAAACCATATGAAACTGCACCTGATGCTGTGTTGTTAATTGTTTCTGAGATTTAAAGTTCTACATTCATTATGTTGGTGAATGAATGTGTCTAGTCTAGTCTCAGTTTCTTTGATCCAAGTGTCTAAAGCTGCCCCTCAATCTCCTCTGAACTGTATGTGTTTGTAATTTCATTTGCTATTTTCTGACATTCCTGGACCACAGGGAGTATTGTTAATATTACCCATGTTTATTTTATAGAACATTGTACTGTGGTATCTACCAACTTTTGTAACTTAATTCTTAGTGATTTAGGGTCATTCTAATAGCTGTATATTTGGCAAATTATTAAAATTTTCTGCAAGTGACTTGCAAGTATAATTGGTTTCTTTTAAATATCAGAAGATTGTTGAGAAAAAGTCTACTTGACTATTACTTGCACTGATGATGAATCCTTCTTTATTTCCATCTTAATTTCTCCTTTTTTCTGTGCACTCTGTAATGGGTTTCTCTTGGGTTTACCAGGTTTGCTTTACCACCATATTTTTGTCACAGCATCCATTGCCATTGTTTGTTGGGAATACCTGCTGGGTATACAAAAATCATCTCTATAAAATAAAAAAAAATTCCACAATCCTTTAAGCTCATCCTGGAAAACCCTTAACAGCACTACAAGAGGCTGTATATGTTGTTGATTACACGTCCTTTTGCATCCAACATCAGGACCCAAATTCCAAAAGCATGCAGGAACAGCCTTAGTTAATTTTTAAGTTGGTTTGGTTTGGAGGGGGGATTATGTTGGGAATTTTTTTCTTTTTTTTTTTTTTTTTTTTTTAATGTTACATTGCTTGTCTACAAAAAGCTTTCTAAATGTGTTCAGTAATCTTAAGTGCTATCCCACAGCTCTGTGCAGCCTTCCTTCCCATGGTCCAGAATTGGAAGAAATTATGGGGTGAGGCTGTAGCTGGCAAAATCCACAGTATTGCAAGGATTTAGGGGGTTTTGTGCTTTGAATTTAAAAATGCATAATGGCTATGTGCTGAAGAATCTTGTAAAGAAGTCCCCATTTCCTTGTTGGTTTGAAGTGAAGAGGGAATCACACTCCTTGGTTGCCTGCTCACATCACTTGTCAGGGGTATTGGCTGCCTGGGGTTACTGTCTCTGTTCTCTCCTTCCTTGCACACACGTGTGTGTTTGAACAGCTGCACAGTGCAGTATCTCAGGGAGCTGATGCAGCTGAGAACCAACTCCGTTCGACTAAGAAAATGCCACGTGGGGAGATGTGGAGAGGAGCTGGGGAACTGCACAGAGCCCCCATACAGGGACATCCCATTAAAGGTGTGTAGGTACACGGTTTGTGGTAATTGGGAGTGGGGCTGAGCCTCATCCCTAATGGGCCCCAGCTGTGCAAAGCAGGTGAATGCTATTGAAGGCAATGAGCCATGGAGTGCCCAGGTGCACTGACCCATCCCAGAGGGAGCAGAGGGCTCACAGGTGCTGTGCATTAACCATGAGGGGATAAAAGGGCTGAAGAGCACAAAGAGCAGATGCTTGCCGCCTTCTGAAGTGGTGTGGTTGCTCTGTGTGAGCAGCTTCCTGAAGCCTTCTGATGAGGTAAGGTGTTACTGTGTACGGGGGAATGCGTAAAGCCTTCTGAAAGGGTATGGTGATACTCTGTTTTGAGGCTGTCTCACCTGTGACAAGAGTGGACGTGGAGCTGAGGCTGTCAGGACATGGCCCTGTGTTACAACCAAACCTACTGTTCCCTTAGTGCAGAGACCTACTCTGAGTCTCTGCTGCCAGAGCTCTTAGGTTTGTGTTCCACTGCCTCTGTGCACAGCGTGACAGATGCCAAATGTTACAGTCCTGCCTGACACTGAAATTACTAATTTTCTGCCCTCCTGGCTTCCTCATTTTGTCTTGTTTTTAGGGAAAGAAGTGTTTCCTCTGTGTGGAGGAAAGACTGGGGCTGTGGGAGGGGAATGGGTGTTAGGGAATCCTTTCAGTGCAGGTAGTTCAAGGGGAGCTGCAGATTGAGCTCTGGGGGAGCCTGGGGCCAGGGGCTGTGACCTGCTGACCCTCTGTGTCATGAGGGGCCTGGGGACCTGTGGCCCTGCCAGGGGACCGGGCACTCAGAGATGCAGCAGGAGCAGAGGACCCCAGAGTTTTGTGCTCAGACTGTGAGGGGATAAAAGCCAAGGGGTTCCTTTTCTGGGGTGCTGCCTCCTTGAAGGAACCAGCTGGAGTTATTTAGTTATTTGAGTCATTGTACCAAGATTAAATTATTTTGAGAATTTGAATGTCTGAGACTCTGCCATGGAAAACCTGAGTCGGAGCTCAGTGTGAGTGTGGGGTGCAGCTGTGAAGGGGCTTTGGTCCAGCTCAGGTGGTGCAAGAGTGACAGACTGCTCCTGGATGCTCAGACAGGGAAGCTTCCTTAACAATAGTGTGTCTAGAGAGCCATTTAAGAGTCTCACCTTCAATATCATACATTTCTCTTACCTCCTGTTGCTGCTCTGCTGTTTTTGCTTTTACTTTTCATTCTTCTTGCAATCCACAAATGTAGACTTCCTCTAAATGTAACTGTAGTTTGTGGTTTAGGCCAGCACAAGATCTGAAGCTAAATATAATCTAGAATAAGAACTGTAAAATACCTGTCATAGACACATTTTCCCCTGGCCAGCTCTACACTTTCTTTGACCTTGAAGAGAGCAAATAATCCACCTGTGTTGGGCAGTGTATCTGAAGGGCAGTCAATTGCCTGTTGCCCTGGATGGCAGCAGTAAAGGATTGGTGTCAGCACACACTTTTTGGTTGATAAAGTGTAAGGAGGACCTGAGTTCAGCCCATTTTTCCACAGCTATATAAACTGCAATGTGACTGGCAATAAAAACTTAATTTTGTAGCAGTTTCAGTGGATATAAATTGGGCCAGCAGATGGGAAGCTGTCAAACAGGTACCATGCCCAAGTCCTAATTTTGCAAAATTACTTCTCAAAAGAAAGCAACAAACCAGGAATAGCTACAAAGAAAACAGTCTAATGCAGCTCTTCCCCTGCACTTCCCCTCAGTCAGGACTCCTACAGAATTTGACCTACAGACTGGAACCGTTGTCATTTCATTAGCTGGAACTTGCAGCTTCTTCTTACCCTGCCTTGGAAGCTTTTTGGGTCCATTTTAAACATTGGTACCCCAACATCTGGAACAAGGAGGCCACAAGTCTCTTCCCTGGAATGGTGACGTCTTCCTGGAGGCTGATAACCAGCCAGGCTTTGTCACAGCTCAGCTTCCTCATCCACTTGCTTGGGGCACGACCAGAAGCACCAATGTATTAACACTATTAAAACTCTGCCTGGAGAAGTAAAATGATGAATTGTTTGATTTTCAAAGGCTAGTGTGCCTCTAGGAAAATAGCAAAGATACAGGAGTCCTGAGTACGCCCTTGATTTGCACTTCTTTATTGAGTCTTTTTTCACTTCAAAGGCTTCTGCCTCACCTGGTACCTGTGCAAAGCAGCTGTGCTGTGTTAGAGCATTCAGCAGGACAGCCAGGGAAACCTGAGAAGTGAACCAGGAGGTATTTATAATTAAAACTTTATTGCCACCAGGAAAGGAATGTTCCACTTTTAGTCCTCAATTATGGTAGCTTTGCTTAAGTGAAAATATCTACATGGAACCCAAGGCAGAATGGACAATCAATTAAAGGGCAGGGAGAGAGAACCAGGCTGAAGAAGAGGAATTAATTTGCAGGAAATTGGGCATTCTCACTTAAAGAAAAGTGCATAGAAATAAAATAAGTTTAACACAAAAAAAAAAAAGTTTCTACATAGCAATATAGTACACCAGCATAACAGTGTAGTAACAGAAATTCTGGTCCTATTTTGGCTCAATGCCTCTCAGCTTGTCTGGTTCCAGCATTTCCAGTGACCCTTTTGAGATTCTTTTCTTGCTTCAGGTTTTTATTTCCTCTTTCCCCGTGTTCCTTTCAGCAGGAGCTAAATTCACCACTAGCAGATACTGCTGAATTCTACCACCGGCACATTCTTTCCAAACATTTTAACAGCTATTCAGGCTTGTGCAACCCTAAACATGGGAAATATATAATGCAGCTTTCTTACACACAGAGAAGAATTGGGGGTTTTGGGCAGACACTATCTTCTGCATTTTTCCTGCCTGCCAGAGTCGGGGGGAGGCCTTGGAGCCTCCCAGGTTCTCTTGCACTTTCTGGCACTGCTGCTAGTGGTGATTTATCTTTTTTCTATTTTTTTTTTTCCCACTCAGATGCATGAGCTGGGCTCTGCATCCTTCAGGAGCCTTTTGAAAATGCTGTGTATTTGTGTTTTAACTGTGGGATGTCTTCAGGTGAGATATCTTAAAATCAATGTTCCAATTACCTGGGGAGGAAAGGACAACACTTGTCAGTCCTTTGTACAGCATTTAGGTTAAAGTGGAGATTTGCTTAAATAAGGCTAAAATTTTGGCTTGTCAAGAGTATTTGGTGGGGCTCCCGTGGTGCCAGACATACTGTGTGTGTTGTGTACAAACAGGTGAGGACAATGGGAGTTTGCTGAGTGGGCTGCTGAAAACCTCCCCAAATAGACAACAATATTATAGATAACAACTGCTGAAAAACTCCCTGAATTTCTCTCCCCCGATGGGAGATCTTGTTTTCTTTGGAGGCAGCAGCTGAGATACTGCCAACAATGAGAGCTGCTCTGCCTCAATAAATGCTGGAGACAATGCATTAAACCTGACCAAGACAGGTTTGCTACCGCTTATCTGTTGCCTTTATAAATGTCTATTAGAGAAACCAATCTATACATCTTTACCAGATGTGCCAAAGTAATAGAGCTCTTCTATCAGGAGATTTGAGATAAATACTCTTTGGACTAATTATTAATTACTACTGATATGCAGGAGCACTTTCCCAGGGTGCCTGTTTAGTGCAATGTGTGAGTGACAGATATTAATAAGGTGCTTTGGTCCCAGCAGTGAAATCTGGGGCAGTGGGAGTCTTTACTGTCACAGTGGCTGGGAAAATTCCTTCTTCCTGGTGAAAATTTGAGGGAGTTACTCACAGCTCCACCAGCACTTACAGCAGCAGAAACTCTGGAGGGAGCTGTAAGCTCAGTGTTTCAGCACAGCTGCTTTTTATTATTTTATTTTCCTCTCAGCCAAAATGAAACTGTAAAGAGGTGGCATGTTGGGCATTTGAAGGTAGATAGATTCTTTGAGTGATTAAAAATGAAATAGTTTTACTTAACCCTGCACCTATAAGCCTCAAATGTAGTTACTGAAATCTCTGAACTCAGTCTTCACCTGTGCCTTTGCTGGTCAAGCTTTAGTGGTTTTCATCAGTGTAGGAGACCACCTCTGTTTTCTGTGCAGGCTGTCAGTTTCTCCTGGAACAGAGAAAAAAGGGGATTGATAAAACTACAAAATATAGACAGTGGGTGTGGTTTCTTTTTTTTTTTTTTTTGTAATGGATTGTCATGGCCTTTGAGCACTACTGGTGTTTTAGAGATGGTGATTAGGGGAGGGGATGGTTAAATTTAAAACCTGAGATGTTAAAAACCAAAACTGACCAAAGTTTGCACTTAGCTACCTGTGCAAAGTTTTGCAATGCTTGTTAACTATGTATTTGGAGGCTTTTTTTGTTGTTGATGGGAAAATTACTGCTGAGAAGTTACCAATCTCAAAGATGGACTAAAAATCACTGAAAAAAGACTTATCAGAGGCTGACCTGGAGGTTGCAGAGCTCTCCTTTCAGATGAGGATTGTTCCCAGCCTTAGGGGCCGATGGCTCTGTGTGCTGGTGATAGGAAATCAGAAAGATGTGTGCTTATGTCTTTACAAACAATTCTGTGGGTGAGGGTATGGGTGTTAATGTCTTTGAAATTTGTCTTAATATTGCTACCAACTTCAAGCCACAGGTTTGTTAGAGAACCCAGACAGTTTAAATCCTGAAACAGACAAATGGGTCCGCACAAGCCTGGGTTTCTGAACTTTGGAAGGAAATTATATATTTAAGGGGGAATATGTGCTAGGCAGTTCGGGAAGGCTGTACCTTCCTAACACCTCAGCTAGGGAAAGGAAGAGGGCAACGTGCAGCCGGGAGTTCAGGGTAAAAGGGACTGAGTCCTCTCAAACTCGAGGACTCCTCTGTCTCCTTTATGGACACTGGCTTTTCAGAGCGTGGTTTTCCGTACCCCTGCAGCTTTGCTGGAACAAAGGCAGAGAGCGCACCGCGGCACAGGCCCGCGGGGTTTCCTCTCTCGCGGTTTCCCTCATTCCCCCAGCGCTCAGAAACTCGGGCTTGTGCGGGCCCATTTGTCAGTGTCGGGAGTCCCTGTCCGGGTTCTGTAACCAGCCCGTGGCTTGAAGTTGGTACAGACATTGAGACGCGTTTCCAAGGCGCTGACACCCGCGGAATAGTTTGTAAAGCCCTCAGCACACACCTCGGCTCCCTCCCGGGTGAGGCGGGCCGTGCCTGGGCCCCGGGCTGCCCCGGGGCCGTGTGCGTGTGGGGAGCGGCCGGGCCGGCCCACACCCCCGGGGCACACACTGCGGCCGGGAGGTCAGTTTGGAGCTTGCCAGTGTTCAGGTCTCTGTCTGCACCACAGCTCACGGAGAGTTTGTTTTAGCCCTTGGAGCCCTGTCGGAATCTGTGGTGTTGATGATCCCGAGATTGTAGAAAGTCTCTATCTTTCTGCCCCGTTGCCAAAGAAGAAGCCATAATTCGTCTGTGCTGGTTTCAGGGTTGTTTATTCTGTTTATCTCTAACATGTTCTGCTGCCCTGCCGCAGCTCTGTCCTGCAGGGCAGTGTGTGGGGCTCTGCCCTCAGTGGGATGTTACAAACATTATATACCAGAAACTACCTGTGCTATATTTACAATAACGTGCCAATATCTGTCACCTACGTTGGACAGTGTGTCCCCAACCTAAACCAACAGAAAAATGCCAACACCACAGTGAAACATGGAGGGCATGAAGAAGGAGAAAAAGGACAAGACACACCCAATTTCCTCCATCTTGTCCCCTTTGGACCCCTTATCTAGAATCCTAAAATTTTACTTTTGCACTCGTGTCACACTTAATTATTACTCTTATCAAACACTCAAAGCTTGTAATTCATCCTGTAAGATTGAAAACTCTTTTCCATGGACAGAGACCACAGCCAGTGTCTCTGGGGGCTCTGTACAGGGGGGTTCCTGACCCCTGCCAGGGTCCCAGACCTTCCAGGGCAGCCAGAGGGAAGCCCTGGATTCCCACAGAGCCGGGCCCATGAGGCGTTTGTTTTCCCCTAGGCTGAGGGGAGCTGCAGAATGACAGGAGGGGCTCTCTGGGGACACATACAGGGTTTTGTTGGGCAGAACTCCCTTGTGTTGCTTGCTTTGCTGTTTTGAAAATGCAAAAAATGTAGAGCTTGGAGCTTATCACAGCAGTGTCCTGCTGGATACTGCCTTAATCTGAGCTGGGATCTGCTTTGAAGTCCCGGGGCGCGATCCTGTCCCAGCGCTGCCCCGGGAGGATGCTGCGGCTCAGCCGGTGCCATGAGGGCTCAAACCCTGCGGGTGCAGTTTGTGGTAAATGGAGCGGGGCTGTGGCCTAGCCTCATCCCCAATGGATACAGCTGTGAAAAGCAGGTGAACAGTATTGAAAGTGTGAAAAGGTAAAATTAAAAATAAAATTAAAATTAAAAAATTTTACTTTCCTGGTAAAATTAAAAAAGTTTAATAAAAAGGAGGAGAGAAAAATAAAGCAAAGGGTTAAAAACGGTGAGGTGTGTCTTTGCACTCAGCCCCTTAAATACCCTTTCTCTTATGCCTGTTGCATATTCATAGATCCTTATGCATAATAAACCTGTCCCCGAACTAGTTTACATGTTCCAAGAATTGTTCAGCATCTCTTTTCCTTGGATCTGCCTTTTCAGAGCATGCAGATTCCTTGGTTGTGGTTTTAGTCCATTCTTGCCACTTCTGGGTTTTGGGCCTTGGTCCACACTGACTTCAGACGATGAGTGCTGATAGTTGGCAGATCTGTAGCAGGTGTCCCCTTCATGTGTTTATTGGATTTCACCACCATGTCTAAGCTTAATTAACAACAGAAATACAAGCCATATCTTTATATCAAAGTTACTTTACCACTACACATATAATATCCATTTTAGTATTTACAAAAAGCCAACATTACAACATGTATCTACAACAAAAGCAATGAGCTGTGCAGTGCTGAGGTGTACTCATCAGTCACGAAAAGGTAGAGAGGGCACACATGTGCAATGCAGGAACAATGAGGGGAATAAAAAGACTGGGCTAAAGAATAAGAAGGGAGACACTTGCAGCATTCTGAAGTGGTATGTGGCTTATGCTGCAACAAAATCCTGGCTTTGATCCGGCAGGGTTTGCCTGCATTTTGTCACCTCCTTCCTGGCTATTCTTGTTGGAACCTGCAGAGGAAGGTCAAGCACAGGCCAAATTAGGATTTAGGACTGCGAGCAAGCTGCTGCCTGCTTTTATGCTGAAACAATGTCAGGTGAGACAGCATCTTGTAAAAGCAAAGATTTCCACATACTGGTGGTACTGAAGCTCTTTTGTAGTGCATGACTATGAAACGATGCTTCTGCTCTCTGCCAAAATGGGAAAAGTCCTGACTAGTAAAATTTTATTTTAGTGTTGTCTCAATGCAAGTTCTCTTTTTGGATTAGAAATCAGATTCTCTTTTTAGTACTTTTGCAGTGCATGTTCAATGCTGACAAGCTGTGGTGTAGCACTAGATGTCAGTAATGCTTTGCCAGTGTCTGTATCAACCCTTGCAGGTTTTATTTGCTGCTGGCTTTTGGCACATGATGCTCTTTCCTTATTCCATATTCTCAAGAATAAATACATACAAATACACTGTCCTTCAAAACTATATTTTCTCAGACTTTGCTGTCCTTGGTAAATAACTGTCTTAGGTCACCATCTTTCAAACATAACCTGTTTTTTCACATTTCCCTCGATCATGCATGGGCTATTAAGTTCTCACTGTATAAAAGTTGCATCTGGCAAATAGCACTCTTGTCACAAGCCCAGACTGGTTAGGACTGAAGGGGAGGGAGGTTTTGGGATATGGCTCAGGATGGGGAGGGCTTTGTGGATATGACTGAGGAAGTAGAGAAGCTGGTAGGTTAAATGTCTTAATCAAAGTGTGGTACACAGGGAGTAACCTGGTTGGTAGTGTTATTTCTGTTTATGGTAAAAGCATTGTATGGTTTGAGTTTAACTAGGTCTTATAGGGGGAAGGTGAACTCAGAAGTATTATCCATAGTTGGAAACTGCTTTTGAACTTATGATAGCAAGTTCTTTAGTTCTTGTTTTGAAACATTATAAGAATTGGATCTGATCAGAGCCTTAAGGATTTTATAAACATCCCTAGGTTGTTTGGACACCTTGTGCCTGATGATGTCCCCCAAAGCCTACCTGATGTTGTGCAATAGGAGATAATATTGGTCTCTGTCTGAGTTGAGCCAGTGATTCAGGCAGAAGTCTTGACTGTTTCTTCCTTGTAGAAGAACTAATTCCTTAGAGTCCTGCTTCCTCTTAGTAGCACTGAATAAAAAGTACTTTGAGGCCTTCTAACTGCTCAACAAATAGTTGAGTTATTGCTTCCTCACAACAGAAGCACCATTTTGTTAATTTTTTCAACTTTTACAGAAACGGGGTAACTGAGAAGCATTTTAGAAGATTTTATTCTATTATTAGTCTCAGTGAATAATGAAACACAAGAAATATAAAATTCAGCATTATTCCATCAGAAATGAACCTATTTCTGACTTATGACACCTTATAAATGTTTTTCAACCTATTAACTTTTACCACACAATACTACTATTACTGCTAACACCAATCACCTATATTTTTTCCCCATGTAGTCCTACTACAATACATCTTTCACAGTTCTAATTCTCTAAAATATCTAGTATTTTTTAAAAAGCCATATTTTAAAATGTGTTAAAACTTATTTCTAATTGACTCTTTCAACAATATCATCTCTGTTCTATAACCTTAACTCAACACACCTTATCTTAATGTTTAACTACAAATGTACAAGACTATATGAATTTTCTGTCAAATTAAAAAAATTCTTTACAAATCTATTTCTCACATCTGGGTTTAAAAACTCTGGTTTAGCTGCTTGCCTGTGTTAAACTTAGACTAGACCACTGCCAGCAAGGTGCTTTAATTTATCACACTTCAGGAAAGCTAACATGTAAAGCCAATTATGATGGCATAATTGCTTGAAAGACACAGATTTTTATGCTAAAAATTCTATAAAGCAGCAAGTACGTTTTCCTAGTGATCCCCAACTGTTTCCTAGTTCATAATTCTTAGTAAAAAAATACTATGGCTAATGTTGTGACAGAAGCTGGATAATACAGCCACTTCCCAATCCCTGCAAGTGTTCATCGTCAGATTGGTCAGGGCTTGGAGCAACCTGGTCTGGGTGTTCCTGCCCATGGCAGGGCAGTTGGAATGGGATGGTGTTCAAGTTCTCTCCCAACCCAAACCATTCTGGGATTCTATCATTCATGCTTCTTTTTCCTGAGAAATATTTAATAGATTAACATCAAACTTCTAAGCCCAAATTTCTGTTAATGGAAGAGCTTTTGGAGATTGCGGTTGTTGCTCAGGGATATGTTGTTGTCAAATTTCAACCTGTATCAAAAAGTTATGCTGTTTGACTTCAGAATGGAGTTTAAAATCTAAGTGTGTTTAATGTTTAGTCTTATTTTCTTCTCTCAAAGTCACTGTAGCCTCTCTGGACAGTTGTTGCCTTTGGGTGGTTGGATGCTGGGTGTGGTTCTGATCCCAGCTGCATCTCTTAGACACAGCACTTTCACAGTGTGGGGAAGAGATGTAAACTTGGGAAAAAAAGGAAATTGTAGAGAGGGAGTTGGCTTAAGCTCATCAGATATACCAGTCTGTGACTGAGATTCCTTCTCAGACACAGACTGACATTTTGAACGTTTCTAATTTTCCCTATATACCATGGGCACTAATCTTTACAATAATCTGTGCATGCATTTGATTTAATGAGATGGAAGGGCTTTCTTAATTTCTCCTAATACAAAAGCTGGGAATTTAACATGAAATAGATGGCAGGTTTGGGGCAAAGAATGTCTTTTACACAAAGTTCAGTGAAACTGGAGAGTCTGTTCCTGCTGGGAGCTCTAAGAGTTTGTGTGCTGGAAAAGGGAAAAAAAATTGATGTTGAAGATGGATCAGGGTCAAGAAATCCAGGTACTGCTGATCCATGGAGCAGGGGTGGTGTGCAAAAGCCTTAGCAGAGACTGTACGTGGGGAGAAGCAGATGCTTGTCTGGTTTGTGGAGGGGTATCGTGCCTGGGACAGCAGGCAGCAGGTCCCTCTGTCCCTACCACCAGTCTTGCTTTCTATCTTTATGCAGAGCAACAATCAAGGTTTTGTGAGAATAAGTACCTGGGAAGATATTTCTGTTGGGAAAAACATTTCTATGATAGAAATAATCTTTAAAATGCACAGGGAAGCTGTAGAGGATGTGATGGAAGAGA